AACAGCCTTCTTTGATTTGTCTTGGATTTTTCAACTTTGATTTGTCTTGGATTTGAGTTGGCTCTGGTCTAGCTTCAAAATATTGGAAGAGAGTGGAAGGAAAGGGTGCCACAAGGATTTTTTTGTGAGATATGAGAGACGGGGAGAAAAAAAGAAAAAAAAAGAGAGAAAAAAGAAAATAAAATTTTAGGGTTTTTAAGTTAAGGTTAAAATAGTAATTTTATAAATAAAATAATAAAATATATATATAATAAAAAAGCTCGATTAGGCTCACAAGCTATTTGAGTCAGGTACTAATAACTTGAATTCAACTCGTTCGATAAGTCGGCTGCTCGAGCTTAAGCTCGACTCGATAATTATCAAATCGAATCTGAGTTTTAATCAAATCGAATCCAAATAATTTACGAGTACTAATGTATCATTTACACCCTTAGTCCTTGGGGAGTGTTGGTATAACGAGACGTCGAAGTCTTTGCTATCAATTATCTTTGTAAAATTGAGCTAACAGTTAGATAAAAAATTAACTTAAAATAAAACCCTGTAAAGTTACCTCAAACCTATCCTAATACTTTATCTTGTTTATTACTTTCAGGGAAGTCAACTCATGAGCATCGATGATGAGCTCCTCCTTATGTGTAAAATCTAAAATTTTATCTTGATTTGATAGATTAAAGATAGAGATGGCCATTGGTATATCCATAAAAGAGCCAAGTATACTTCTTATTTCTCAAGTCTCAACCTTCAATTCACCATCTTTATTTGCTTTTTTCTTCTCAAGGCATAGGAAAAGCAGTTTCTAATTCTTTATTATGCTCGAGTAGTCAGTAAAAAGTTTTTTGTTTAGCAAAGCAGTGATTAAAACCACCTGTTGTCACTAAGATATTTTTTAAGAGAAAAGAACTCCCTGAATAAAAGGTAAGAAGGAAGAATATTTAATTGTTGATAAAGAATAATAAAAGCAATTATGTACCAAATAGAATTTGAGGTGAGCTAAGTGATGATCAAATTATAAGAATTAAAAATTGAAATGAATAAAAGATGAAGTGGAAACATCAAACCGACCATGAACGAATCCTAATAAACGTAGAGCAGATATGGCTTTAGTCTATTAGTGACTCGGTCTGATAAGTTTGGCGTTATTATACTGTACCCCTCTTTAGAAAAAAAAGAAAGTGGTATCAAGAGCATGAATGTGATAAGCCGAGCATAAGTTAGGATAGTTTTCTGGATTTGTCTTGCCCTTTAGCTCGCTCATCATGTCCTTAGAAATCTTGTGAAGTTATACAGAGTATATACAATGACCTTGATGCATTCATCTTATTCTATAAGACTCTCATTCATTATCACTTTCTCTACTCGAAATGTTCTCTTTCTCTTATTCTTCCTTGGAACCCCCTTCGTCAGAAGAATTTGACTATTAGGTGGGAGATAGATCCTGAGAAAGAGCAGTGAATGAAAGTAACTCGATCTCAAAAAAAGAAAAACAAGGTGGAAACCTATCGGTAGAGGATGAGATGTCTAAAAAAACTTATTGATAAGGAAAAGTAAAAGTGACAAGAGGTGAGAGAAATCAAACCCTAGAAAAAAAAAAGACCAAAAAGGAAGAAAGGTCGACCATATAAGATGGACCGACTTGAAAAACAGGGAAAACAGGTGAATTTTGAAGTTCAAAGTTGATCTGAGCGCACAGCTTTTTCGTACTCAAAACTTGCTCGTCTATTTCTCGAGCATTCTTTTTATTACATCGTTACACTTTCTTGGACATCTGGTTGAACCAACAAGCCTTCTTTTCATAGTTGCGGCCTTTAATAATAGGGGGATAAGGTTGTCATCCTGCTGCCCTCACTGACCTTCTTTTGGCTCTACCCTATAACTCAACCTCTCCAAAACTTGTACTAGAAGAAATTATTAGAAATACATACTAAAGTAGGTGCAGAAAAAATTTTAAAGGCTAGAAAACTATTAAAATAAAAAATTTTTGGTCGGATAAAAAGAAAAGAAAGTAAAAGGTGGAAGCTAAAGCCTTACCAACCCTTGATATGGATGAGCTGCATACCAAATGGATTACACGTTCTACGTCATGTGTCGAAGAATGAACTAGTAAACATAATTTCATTTGTCTGTTTTAAATTTTCCTGTTCAAATCACCTCTCTTCTTATTTAATACTGTCAAACCAACCTAATTGGACGAACCCTAAGATGGGCCATATAATTCAGACAGCTGTCAGGAGTAAACTGAGAGCTCAGTTCACTTTCAGGATCCAAAATAGAGGTTTAAATCTAAATTTTTGAAAGAAAATATAAGTTTCACCATAACCAGATAAACTCTAGCACTTATCTTAAATCACCCCAAACAATTATCACCTCAGTAATCTTTAAACCAATTATGCACTCAATCCAAACACACACATACAATATCAGATAACTGCCAGATCGGACCAAGGCTCAAAGCTAGTCATCATCCAAAATTGACCTTCCCCTTTAATGTCGATCTTCGACAAACCAAGTTGCCAATCTATTCTTTCAGCCAATCTATCCCATATTGAAGACATCGATAATAAATTTTTTATCTGATACTCAGAACGTCTGATGGGGAGACAGAGTGTTAGGGGCATTTGATGGTTAAAAAGGTATAATGATTTTTTCCTCTCAAAACCTATAGTAGACAATAAGGGACATCTTCATCATTTGTGCCAACGTAATATTGTGAGTGCCACCTCAGCTTAATCCTATATTAGTCGTTCCTTTATGGTCTCCCTCAACTTACCTATAAATATGAAGATTCAGGCACCATGAAACCAAGTTCATCCCACTCATTTCTTTTTTTCCTTCTTATTTTATTGCCGATCTCATCTTTATTGATATGCTCATCGAAGAGAAAACACAAGGAATACCTCATGCCTTTATCTCTAATTGTCATTCCCTTCTGTACTTATAGAAATACATTCAGGTTGGTGCTCAACACCAACAATACAATTTCTTTTTAAAGAGAACTTGTATGCTAAATCAAATTTGATCAGGAATTCACACAATCCAATCCACAACTTTAAGCTATTGAATAAAAAAAAACTAATCTAAATTGAATTAAATTTAGTTTAAATCTATTGAATCCATCTATCAAAAGTTGATTGAACCTTTGATTTAATATTGACTTTTAAGATTTTGATTTTTTTTATTTATATATTTTTTAAATGCTTTTATTTGACTTGATTTCTTTTTCTTCTTTAGATTAGAAGTATTTTTAATAAGCAAATCAGTAAGAGCCTGATGTACATTCCTCAATTTTAGAGAAGTGGAGAGTGATCGAGTCCAATTTTTATTCGAGAGAACAAAGCCACACTTGCATTATCAGGGATTGCAACTTGTGATGAAATACCTCTACCATAGTTAACAATCGGACCATTTTTAAGCCAGTTGCCAAACCACAAGCATGTGTTTTTCCCATCCCCAATCCTGTGTTTCAAGAGTGTAATGGCTATGCTCCTTGATTTAAGAAGTTTCCTCCAATGCCAGCTGTAGTCTTGAAGGCCGGCAAGGTGCCAAAAACTTCTCCTCAAACGATAGGCTTTTATCCATGCTACCCTAAGAAAGCGTCTTTGTGCAAAAGGTGACCAAATATGTTTTAGAAGGCATGCATTGTTCCAGGTTAACAAATCTCTTAAGCCAAGTCCTCCTTCCCTTTTACGATAGCAAGTTGTTTCCCAGCTAACCTTTGCTCCCCTACCATTCCCTTCCCCGCTTTCCATAAAAAAAGAGCAAATCTGATTTACCTTCTTGATAACCTTCATAGGGAAAGGGAACATCTTACACCAGTAATTCTAAAGGCTGAACAACATTGATTGTAATAACTGTAGCCTACCAGCATATGAGAGTCTCCGGATAACCCAACTATGAATTCAGAGTAATGATTTTCTCTGTCACTTCTTCTTGAAAGAAAGAGGAACTCCCAAACATTAGACTGACAGATTTCCCTATCTAAAACCAATATTTACTTCGATTTCCTGAAGCTCAGCAATAGCAATGTTAGCATGGAAAAGTTCAGTTTTGGCAGATTTCAGTTGCAATTCAGATGGAGTATAAAAATCATGAAAAATAGAGAAGATTTGCTGGACAATTTGTGAATATCCTTTCATGAAAATCATAAGATCATGATCCCTAAAACATAGATGATTAATCTTAATTTTTTGCAACCAGGATAATAAGCAAGTAGACCTTGAGAGCAGCAATCATTTAACAAACAAGATCGAACTTCCATAACCATCACAAAAAGGTTGGGTGAGAATGGATCACCTTGCATAACCCCTTTGGCACCTATAAAATAGCCTACAAATCCTCCAGTCAATGAAATGGAGAATTTGGTAGTAGTAAAACAATTTTGCAACCAATTAAAGAAATTTCTGGAGTAACGAATAGCTGCCAATGCCTATGTTTGCAATTTCGAAATCCTATTGTCTTAACTCTAATCAAATTGAATATTGTATCTTTAATTGAGATTTAACTTTAATATTAGATTTTGAATTGAGCATATGATCAAAAAACTTATTTATTTAATTGAGATTTGACTCAAATTTTAGATCTTGAATTGAACATTTAATAAAAAAATTATGTACAGATTTACCACTTATAATTTTTTAATAAATTTTATATTGTTTTAAATTATAATTAATTAATTGTAGAATAATGATATTAAATGGTATGCTACCATTTTTTTTTCACCATTAAAACAAACGGACAAGTGGTATGCTTTCAAACTCTTTTTTCAGAATAATTTTTTTTTTTTTGTCCGTCACATGAGAGGAGTTTTGAAAATAAATAAAGATGATATATATATATATATATATATATATATAAAACACTCATCAATATAAAGATTAATTTCTTGGTCGATAAAATAAAGACTTCTATTCCATAAAATGATGGGGACCAAAAGAAGAAGCTAAACAATTTTGATTGATCAAAGCTTGGGCTACATATAGACCTTTAATAACTCGAAAGAAATTTATATTTTTTATTTGAAAATTCTTTTATTATAATTGAATTGGTTTTATTTTCAATAATTTTAATTATGAAAATTATATTGTTGTTGATGAATAGTATGGCTCATCTTCAATGCCTACATTTCATGATCATTTTATTTTCAAATAATCGAATTTTCTTAAATGTTTTCCTTTTAAAATTTTTTTAAATCATAAATTTCACCATAATAAGCGACCGATTTTTAATTTTTTCTCTTTCTTCTCTATATTTCATTCTCTCTGAACTCAGACCATCGTCTACCACCACTTAGACCGCCGTTCGTCACCGGTAACGAGCAAAAGATACATATTTTCTTCCTATCATCCTTCCAAACACTGTAATGAGTTTTATTTTTTGAAAAAAAAGCCCTTTTTTCCCTACAAAGAAAGCAAAAATATTAAAATATTAAAATCTTAGATCTGACACCGGTAACTACCAAAAATACCTCTTTCTCTTCCTCTCATCCTCCTAAAAACTTTAATCGTGTTTTTTTGAATATTTTTCTCTGCAAAAAAAAAAATCTAAAAATCTGCGAAATTTAAGATACGGCGCCGTACGAAGGTTCACAGTTGCTGTGGTACCCATTTTCTGATTTCTGGTGGCTTTTTTTTTTTTTTTTTTTGCTGCTGCCATCGATCTACCGCTCCTAAACACTTTGATTTTTGCTGCCGAATCAATCTGTGTGTGTTTCTGTTTGGAAATTTTTGGAGAATTTTTTATGGTGATCTTGTTTAGGATTCAGTTATAAGGTAGTTTTTATTGTTTTAAGACAGTTTGTATGATCGATGAAGAATTGAAGAATTTGTGTGCTTTTTTTTTACTTTGATCTCTATAATTTCAACTTTGATTGCTGGTTTTGATTGATGCTTTTGTTAATTAGCTCTGAAAATTTAAGTTGAAGAAGAGGATTTTTTTTTTTTGGGTGACATTTATTAAATAACACCGTTACAAAACAGAATAAGATCTCAGGGTGTTAAATGAAAAGAAAAAAAGCTCAAGGGTGATAAGTGAGAAACCATTACACCTCAGGGGTGAATGTGTGGAGTTTACCCTATTATTTATTTATCTCAACTTCTTTACGCTATCTCCCGGCCCTCTTCTCTCAATTCCTATTTCTCCATTGCTCTCGCATAGGTCTCTCTCTTCTTTCTCTGTTTGGTTACCGAGCAAAAGTACTTTTTTTTTCTTTCGGTAAACAAAACGAAACTTTCTGATTTAATTTATTTCTTTTGATGGAGGCTCTACTCTTTTAGATCTGTATTTAATTATTAGATTCTGTTTTCTCGTTTGTAGATTCTCACATGATTCAATTTTTTCTTTGTTTTGCTCTTTGAAGGTTACAGGCATCTGAATAATCAGCAAAATGGTTTCCTTTGAAATGAACGACCGAAAGAGTGAGCTTTTATGTTCATTTTTTTGTGCTTTCTTTGCTTCTTTTCATTCAATTAACGCATCTATGAATCTGTGATTTTTGTGAGACTTCTGTTGATTTGGTAATTGAAATATGATACAATGTGCAATCCCTAGAAATTTTAGTGCAATACAAATATCTAGACTTGGTTCTTTTGATTCACTCTTCCGATTTCTGTTGGTTATCATACATGTTAGTTCATTTTTAGAACTGCTTCTAAGTTAGGAAGCTATTTCAAGTGTTCATTTTATTTTACATTAAGGCAATTTGGGAATGCTTTGAGGTGCTAATTTATTTCAGACTTTTAAATATGTTTGATAAAGTCAATGGAACATATTGCCTTACAAAGATTTTTTTTTTAATCATTTATTTATTTATTTTCCAACTCAGTATCTTAAGAGCAGATAAAAGTGGAGAATGAAACAAGTATTGCGGTAAGTTATGTGGAGTTATCAAGAGGAGGTTTTTTAAGAAGCAAATATATTCTAAGAAATTGATGCTAGCCAAACCGCTAAAAAATTTTACTAGTGGATCACTGTTTATCACATTCGGTATACTTATATAGAAAAGGATTTTTAATTGATATGTTCCCACCTTCTCAGTCGTTAAAGTTCAAATAGATGAGGTAGTTCAATACTATGCAGTTCTAATTGTTAACTTTATTAAAGGAAGTGCTTACGATGATATTGTTTAAGACTCACTAAGTGACAAACACTCATGCATGTGGATTTTGTATGGAAAATGCTAATTAAAAAGTTTAGAGTTATGGAACTTTCATAGTACTATTGCTAAATGATCTTATTATATGTAAATAACATATGAGATGATTTGGTGATAAGTAAGACTTTACCAGGACCCCAGCTATATGGAATATGGACTTTTTATTTAACTCTGATTTTTGTCTAGAACCTAATCTTTTTAGTTTAAAACTAAACCTGTTTGCTGAATAAATTATGTGTTTTGTTACATGGATTATTGTGATTGAAATTGCTTGGAGGCAAGTAGTAGTGCTTTGGTACTCTAATATTTGATTCACATGGACTTAGCAATTGGAGAAATGTGACTTTGTTTGTTATCAATGTTTTGAGGAAAAAGCCAAACTAGAAACTTTTATGTTCATTTTTATTCAGTTAACTTTCATACGTATTGATATCTGAAATTATGAAAAACAGAAATTGGGCTGGGATTAACGGGATTTGGCATATTTTTCTCATTTCTGGGAATAATCTTCTTTTTCGATAAGGGATTGCTTGCCATGGGAAATGTAAGCTAACTTTTATTATCTTTTTGTCCTCTTTGCACAACTATTTTCGTTTTCCACTTTGAATCATGCTTGATTAATGCTGCCTTCTTTTTTTCCTGTTAATCAGATCCTTTTCATATCAGGAGTGACCTTAACCATTGGTCTGAGGTCCACCATGCAATTTTTCATGAAGCGTCAAAATTTTAAGGTTTGATTTATTCTCTCTCTCTCTCTCTCTCTCTCACACACACACACACACACACACACACGCGCGGGCGCGCGCGCGCACACATTATGTATGCATCTCTTATTTTCTTTAAGATCTGTTGCTACTGAATGCAGGGAACAATTTCTTTTGGTGTTGGCTTCTTTTTTGTTGTCATTGGATGGCCTATCTTTGGCATGATATTGGAGGCATATGGATTCATTGTGCTCTTTAGGTCTAAATTAATTTTTCATTATCTTGATTTAACACAAATTCTTGGCTTTTGTTAATTTTGGAGCTTCTTAATTAGCATTCCCTTTTTATTTTGCAGTGGCTTTTGGCCGACACTGGCAGTGTTTCTTCAGAGGATACCTATTCTTGGTTGGCTGCTGCAGCAACCATACATCAGATCGGTATGTTTAGTTTCAAAGTCAAGTAAATTTTCTTTTTAACTCATAAACTGTCTGCCAGACATGCATGCTTTTAATCTATTATTTTTCTAGTTCTTGGTTGGTTGTTTACTTGATTTAAATTAGTGTAATAGTTTAAAAGCATCCTAGAACAGTTCTAAAATTTGAAAGACCAGCGATTGTGATCTTTAGTGATCTGAGAGTATTAAAGAAGGCCAATAAATTCTCTAAACCTAGGTTCACATTAATATTTATGACTAGCTCCAAGAGGTGAAATTTGAAGCCATTTTGTTGTGCATTCAATATGTGAGCAACTGAAGCAGCATTCCTTCAACTTGCTGCAAGGGGATGGTTTAATAGTTCAATATGACTGAGACTGGAATAATTGGAAAGATGAAATTATAGAACCAGAGCTAATATTGGATTGTTTTGTTCATTTATTGAGATATTTTCATCCCAAGTTTAAGCAAATGTTTATTTAATATAAATCCATGATGTAGCGGGAGGTAAAACATAAGAAAATGAGAAAACTTGTGAATATGTTCATAATATTGCCAGGTGCACATTTAGGTGCTCATGTCAGGCACCTTAAGGCAATGATCAGTCTTTGTACACTAATGCCTGACTTGATAAGTTCCAGGTCCGTTGATATGACTCCTTTGAACTTGGTTGTTTAAGGAAATTATTGAACTAACTTTGGTCCTCTTTCTTCTTGGTGCAGTTGTTCGACCGATACCGGGGCAGGAGGGTGCCTGTGTAAGCCCATCTATCAGAGAAAGTGGAACAAGTGATAGGCTAGTTGACTTGTAAGTCTTTGTAGAATACTGGTTGGAAGAAGGCCTCTTTTTCCTTTTTAATTTTGTTCAGACGGTGATGATGTAGAAAATCAGTGTTATAATTTTTTGATTAAAGAATAGAAAAAGAAAATGAAAAACTGAAGTAATTGTGGTTACTCTGAGCAACTCTGTGGGCTCTGCCTTTCTGTAGACGGCGTTGCTGGCTGAACGACAGAGTCGACCAATCAAGGTCGAATTACACACTTGAACTCCATTGGTGGATTCAATTGAGACTCATAAAATGGAATTTTTCAGGGAAAAGAGTAGGGTCCCAAAATGCAACTTACATCTCGTCTTCTCCCAACTTTTAATGGGTCCTTAAAGAGTTTTGGTTAAATTGTAATCCGTTTTTTAGCAGTGCACTAATGCACTAGCTAAATTTGTTCTTATAGCAGCTGCTGTTTTTATTTTACTTAATATTTTTATCTCTACAATATTGTTAGGTCAAATTATGTGAATTATTTTTTTATTTATCAGATCGTATGAATCAGTTTAGTTAAAATTCAAGCCCTTTTGCACAAAACTAACATCAACTCAAATGTACTTGTTTAATTAAAACACAACTAATAAAACGACATCTGTCTAAAAAATGTTTAGATTGCAGTTGAAACAAGCTTTAACAAATATTTAATTTATAAAAAGAAAACTACATCTGTTTAAAAATATTTAAAATTTTAGTTGAATAATATAATTTATAAAAAAATGTTTATTTAATTTTTTTTGTATGAATTGAATTACACATATTTAAAAAAATGTTATTTTAAAAATTTTTACAACTAGATTGTATTCATTTATTTATTTTCGAGATTCAATGATATAATTAAATGGTTTGAGATGGTTTTTTTTTTTTTTTTTTTAGAAATGGTTTATTTTTTATTGATTAAAATTAGACCGTGTCTTCTGGTATTATTCCTAAGCTAATAAATCAATCAACGAACAAAAAAAATGACTAACCAACAGCCAATTAAATAGACAGACGAAAGAGAGAGAGTTGAGAGAGAGACAGAGAGACAGAAACTGGAAAGCAAGAAGCATAGTTTTTGATCCAAAGAGATCTTTCTTTCTTTCACCTTCCTCCTTCCTCCGTCGTCTTCCGAAATTCAATTCATTTTTCAATACATGTATTAATATTTTCATTTATTTTTATTTCTTCCTCTAAAAGCAAAAAAAAAAAAATGTCAATCAACATGAAAACCCTAACTCAAGCCCTCGCCAAAACCGCTGCGGTCATCGAGAAAACCGTCCAAACTACCGTTCAGGAGGTTACTGGACCCAAAGCTCTTCAGGACTATGAGCTCCTTGACCAGATCGGCTCCGCAGGACCAGGGCTTGCCTGGAAGTTGTACTCGGCCAAGGCGCGTGACGGAACGCGTCCCCAGCAGTATCCCACGGTTTGCGTTTGGGTTCTGGACAAGAAAGTGCTCTCGGAGGCACGGGCGCGTGCGGGCCTTTCCAAGGTGGCGGAGGATTCTTTCTTCGATTTGATACGATCGGATGCGGCCAGGCTGGTGAGGCTGAGGCATCCAGGAGTGGTCCACGTGGTCCAGGCATTAGATGAAAATAAGAACGCGATGGCGATGGTTACCGAGCCATTGTTTGCGTCGGTGGCTAATGCGCTTGGGAATGTTGAGAATGTTGCCAAGGTTCCTAAGGGCCTCGTAGGGATGGTACGTGCTCTACTGTCTTTTTCATGATTAAATTTCAACTTGGTTCAGTTTCAATTTTTGAATTACTCCATTGTTTGTTCTTAAATGGTTATAGTTTATCCAAATCTGTGAATCTTTCTCCATAAACTAATTTGTGTACTACTAGGTGATACTGTAAATGGCGATTTGTAATTTTTTACATAATTTACTAAATAAGTATTTCGAAGTTAGTCAATATTACCAATATCAATTTGGATTCATGGATAACTTAGCAATGTGCTTTCTTTTGTTTTATATCAACGGAGTTGTGATCGCAATATGCCTTTAAAGTTAAAAGTGAAGTTGTATAAAACAACTATAAGGCCTGCATTACTGTATGGAACTGAGTGTTGGACTGTCAAGAAACAACATGAGAAGAAAATGAACGTAGTGGAAATGAGCATGCTTAACTTGATGTGTGGTAAGACTAGAAGAGACAAAATCAGAAATGAAGCAGATTCGAGAAAAATTAGGAGCAGTCCGAATTGAAGAGAAGATGAGAGAGGGCCGTTTGTAATGTTTTGGACATGTGAAACGTAGGCCTAGCTGCGCATTAGTTAGGAGAATTGAGTCTCTAGATCTAGGAGAGATCAAAACATCTAGAGGTAGACTATGAAAGATATGGATGCAAGTAATAAAAAACGATATGATGGTTAAGGAATTAGATGAAAAGGTGGTTATTGATAGAAACGAGTGGCGCAAGAAGATTCAAATTAAACCTAACTTGATTCTTTTATTTGGTTTTTCATACAGCCGACCCCAGAGTATGGGATATAAGGCTTAGTGTGTTGTCGTTGTTCTTGTAGTTGTGGAAGTATCGGAGTTTTAAAAAGAATAGTTGCTAAAATTAAGTGATAGGCATTTTGGACTAGGAGTGACAAATATGGTCTGTTGCAAGTGCTGAAGGTGGGTTTACTTGCTGGTGAAACACAGTTCAATTTTGTATTTAGAGGCAAAAAGTGTCGGGCAGTGAGGAAAGAGGTTGCTGAAATTTTCTGCCTGGTAGATGGTAGGGTTTAATTGAAAGTTGAGAGGGGGGGGAATTGGTTAGAAAATATTTGCAATGTTTAGAGGGTCTGAAGGATAGGAAAAGTTTATTGTGGAGGGATTTCAAAGGAGAAGGGGAAACTACCCTCAGATATGTGTTTGCTGTACTTACTGAAAGGAAATTTTGAAAAAACATGTATTGAAGTTATCCAACAACCTCTTAGTATTCTATGTCATCATAGGTCTCGAGTAATCTGCAATTTGAAAATAGAGATAGGGAAGCTTTACTAATATAGATTGGATTAGAGATTAAATCTTTAACTTTTAGAAATCATAGCCAACTTTTAAGAAAATGGTCAAATCATAGTATTAAGATTCTATAATCAGGTTCTGTTTTTAGCAAAACAGAAAATCGCTAATACTTGTGGCTGCTATAAACCATTTAATGAAGTATCGAATCAATGATTTGGGTAACTACCAATAAGATTTTTTTTCTTGGACCATGACTTCTTTGTTGTTGCACAGCCCATAAATTGTTGCCCCGTGTTCTTTCAAAAAAAAAAAAAACAGAGAAAACCTAATTATAGCCCCTCACTTGAAAAGAGAAAAACATTTATTTAAACTAGTTATTGATGCACTATTAAGTATTATAAGTTTTTTTGTAAAGGCAAAAGGGAAGAAAAGGAATAATCAATTTGTTAGATAAAAACTTTAAAATCTGAAATGTACTTTTGAGAAAATTAAGAACAAAAAGCTAAGCTAAAATTGTTAGCAGTTGTTACCTAGATAAATCTTGTTACCCAAGCTTCCTGCATCAATGCTTAGTTGCTTACTCGGTACAACTTATGTAAAATTTAAATTTAGTGATTTGTTCACAAATACACCTAGAGGGACAATGCCTTTTGTAATTAAGCTGGAAATGTTCTCTTGCAAAGTTATTGTGTCTATGATGATTCAACAAAGGTATAGATAGGTCTAAAACTTAGTGCGTAATCTAAGCCTTAAATGGCAAGTTATTTTATTGTTGCTTCAATTTTAATATCGTATTAGCTACATTAATCTTTTTCCTAAATTGAGGGGAAGGAGGAAAAAGCACAGAAACATAGTATAAATTTCAGCTTGGGCTTTCACCATTCTTAATTGGACTTTGGCCTGCATTGGATATACGCAGATATTTGATTTCCACTTGGTCTGAGCCTTAATGAATCAAACAGTATGTTGGAAAGTTTGGAGGTGGAAGAGAGTAGAGTGAATGGGTGGAAAGATTACTAGAGTGGAGTTGATTAGTAAAAAGAATATTCTTTTTAACTTTTTTCAGAGTGGACAGAATAGAAGGTTAAAGTTGTAAGTTTATGGGCTGTAACTACGATAACCTGTTTTGAGATTGTTATTAAATATATTTTTAATGGTTTAAAGGGAATCAAAAGCAGAAATCTTGAATTGGAATACGTTCAAATCTTTTTGATAATGGGGAATTTAAAGTGACCTTTTGAAAGGGTTAGTTTCACTGTCCAGCAATATCCTATCCCTTTTCAGAAAAATTCCCAAATAGGATAAGGGTAAAAGTTTTTACTCCCTTTCACTATCCTTTCCTCCATGTCCCCTCTACATGAACACATTGCAACAACATGGAGTTACTGCTAGGTGGAAAGTGAACCCATTTCTTTCTTTCTTTTGAACATTGGATTTGCCTGTGTCTATATTTGACACATCTTTATATAAGATGAAAAAGTTGTTTTTAAGGATTTCATTAGGAATGCTGAGCGTTTGAATTATGCACCAACATGTTATGTCTTCTCCTTCATATTCTTTATAACTATAGCAAACTTAAAAGTGTTTTTGCTTTGCAGGAAATGAGTTTGTTGGAGGTGAAGCATGGTTTGCTTCAGATTGCAGAATCCTTGGATTTTCTTCATAACAATGCACGCCTTATTCATCTGGCTATATCACCTGAGGTTACTTCTTTACTTTTTTTTTTATTTTCCTAATTTCTACTAATATGATCACTGATAATGCTTCAAAATCTTTGTTTCTCTTTTTCACATTGTTATTTTGATATGCTCTTATAAGAAATAGTGACATTTTATGAGCTATCTTCTATGGAGTGTTTTATCCTCATATTCCTTTTGATTTTTCAGATTTTTCTTCATTTTCAAGTTTTAGTAGGTTTAGGTCAACACTTCCTTTTTATATTTTTGTTTTTTTATCCTCTTATTCCTTTTGATTTTTCAAAATATTCTTCCTTTTTAATTTTCAGTAGGTTTAGGCCAACAATTCTTTTTTATTTTTTTGTTTTCTTCTTTTCATAATTTCTTGATTGTTGAATAGAGAGTATTATGTGCCTTTTGAGACTGCAGGATAGGTTATTGTGGATAGGGAACATAACTGCTGTATTTGTGTGTCTAATGACTGATTTTGTACTTTGCAGAATGTCTTGATTACATCAAGTGGAGCTTGGAAGCTTGGTGGGTTTGGTTTTGCTATCTCGACAGATCAGGTCTCTAGTGATTTGGCTAATGTGCAGGCCTTCCATTATTCTGTAAGTGAAAGTTCTGATATTTTAAGGGTTGAAGGGTGGGCGGAGTTTGGGAAGAAATGCTAGGTTCGTGCCACAATACTCTTTCTTGTAACCAAAGAAAAAATGATAATGCTTTTCATATTAATTCAATTCCTTGTACTTGACCAAACTGAAATCAAAACATGAAACAAGGAAACCAATATGAAGTAAAACCCATTTCCTCTAGTTATGTTGCTTTGACTCTTCATTTTCCATTAAGGGTGGGTGGAGTTTGGGAAGAAATGCTAGGTTCATGCCACAATACTCTTTCTAGTAACCAAAGAAAAAATGATAATGCTTTTCATATTAATTCAATTCCTTGTACTTGACCAAACTGAAATCAAAACATGAAACAAGGAAACCAATATTAAGTAAAATCCATTTCCTCTAGCTATGTTGCATTGACTCTTCATTTTCCATGAAGTGTCCATGTTTGACACATATATGACAGATATGGGCATGGAGGTCTAATTGTCATGCACATGTCTTACACTCACCTTGGAGTATAAGTAACATAGTCTAGTTCACTATTGATAATTTAGTTAATTCTTTCATTAGGTTAGCCTAAGCGATGTGGATATCCATGTCATGTGTTTTTGTGTTCTAATATATGTCATAGATGTAGAATATGGTCATACATGAATTAGCTTATTTATTACTGTTTTTGTATTTTGGAATTCCATTTCAACTCCATTCTTTAGCCACGTTATTGGCTTTGGTGTCAATGCTTCTATTCTAAGTAATTTTCTTCTACGTTTTAGGCTTTGCTATCTTCTGTGTATTATTCTTTTTTGACTTGTTGGCTACATGGCGTTTTCTATTAGCAAATATGAGTATGCTCCTTATGATTTTTTATCGAGCCATTCATCATGATTGATGGATTTACCATGCTTGCAATAATGATCCATATTTAGCTATTATATTCTGATTTGATTTGGTCTGTGCAGGAATATGATATTGAAGATTCTGTCATACCTCTTCAGCCATCATTGAATTACACTGCACCTGAATTGATTCGTAGTGAAGCATCTTCAGCTGGATGTTCTTCTGACATTTTCAGTTTTGGATGTCTTGCCTACCATTTAATTGCTCGGAAGCCTTTGTTCAACTGCCACAACAATGTCAAGATGGTACGTACCTATTTAAAAATTTATCCTTTTGCCATTGCCTATAAAATTGGTCCTGTTTTTGTTTTCTCTTAACAAGAAAAACCACTTTCCTATCAGGTTTATTTTCTGGCAAGGGGTTTTTCTCTCATTTTTGGATGCCTGTTACCTTTTTTATAGAAAAAGAAATTCATTAAGATAAACTTAAATCAGGATTAAAAAATTGGTAGGGAGAGGCCTCTACGATAATCTCTGTTCCTCTGCATCACATGTAACTTTAGCTAAATTATGAGCAAAGAGATTAGCACTTATCTTAACATGAGAGAACTGACAACTATTACATTCCAAAGATAAATCCAAAATGTCGGAAATAATACCACCCCATTCCCAAAATGTTGATCTCTGTTTAAAAATTTCCTTGATGGCCAGCATTGAATCACTTTCAAAACATAGTCATAAATCCATGTTTCATTACCAGCTCTAACCCATAAAGTATAGCCTTCATTTCTGCAAGGAAGGGAGAAGCAATAGGTTGTTTTTATTTTTGTCCCCTACATCACATGTTGAATTTATATCCCTTTGCAGCAAACTAGACTTATGTTGCGCTTTCTTTTTTTCTATTTGGCTTTTTAATTTTTTTTGTATAATAATAATAAAGTTAGCATATTAACATGTTTCTGCTTCACTGCTTTAGACTCTTTTAATCTGTTTTAAAGTACTAGTGGTTGATTGTTGTGTTTCTTTCCTGCAGTATATGAATACATTGACATACTTATCCAATGAAGCCTTCTCCTCTATCCCACCAGAATTAATCCATGACTTACAGAAGATGCTCTCTGCAAATGAATCTATCCGGCCATCAGCACTGGATTTTACTGGTAATAATGGGAGCCTCATAGACCTTGTCATTTATTTTATATGTCCTCAGAAGAAAAAAGGAAAAGATTTTCAAATAGCAGAATTTGTTTCCCAAATGCAAGTTCTTTTAGAGTAATTTTAAGAGAATGGTTTGGGGTGCAATCATCTCTCTACTATGACTTGTACTGTGTTCAGTGATCACAGAGTTGCCGGGAATAGCAATTAAGCATGAGTTAAAATCGCTGTTTATTGTAAATATGAACTTCCTCTCAAACGAAAGTGGTTCTGTTTTGAGTTGGATGCATGATGTTTGTGGTGTTAATGAAAGGCTTGGGCCATTACCATCAGCTACTTAATCACTGCATGGTATAAAAGTTTCTCTCATCTTAGATGGTCTTGTGCTCTCCTTTCTCGTATCTACTTTTTACTCTCATATCAGAGATGATTAACTTGGATGATGTGTAGTTAAATTAAAGCAAATGCCATGAAGTATCCTGTCAGTTCCACGTAGTTATTACTGAACTGGCAAATAAACTCTGCAATTTGGATTAATTTATTGATTGTGAATTTTATGTATTGTATTTGCAGGTTCTCCATTTTTCAGGGATGATACTAGGTTGCGTGCTCTTCGCTTCCTCGACCACATGCTTGTATGCATTTGAATTTTTGCTTGTATAAAACTTCCTCATTAAATGCAGTCATCTATAAATAACTTGCTAGAAATAAGTGCTATGAAAATGCTAAATTCCTGGGTGACAATTTTGTTTCCTTACAGGAAAGAGATAACATGCAGAAGTCTGAGTTTTTAAAAGCTTTATCTGATATGTGGAAAGATTTTGACTCCCGTGTGCTGCGATATAAGGTTTGAGATCTTTTTTTTCCTCTCTTAAGTACTGCATTCCTAAATTTGCTTAGTGTATAATACAAATTTCAATTTTAATTACCATTTTAGTTGTTAAACATGAGTCTGCCTTTAAGGATATTTGGGAAACTAAGTGAAGAAATATTGGAAAGCAGACTTGTTTCTGATTTCTTACAGTGATTTTCATATGTGCATTCTCCTTCCCTCCTCCCAGCCTCTTTCCCTCTCATGGGGTGGTCCATTAGATATTCTTCAAGATTTTCAAGTGTCATCTGTCTACCTTTTTTTTTTTTTTGTTGCCATTTAGGCTTCACTGAGCTCTAAGAGTAGTATTAGTGGTTCATTTATATTATCTATTGCATTTGGCAGACAAAAGCAAGTCAAGTGAATATGATTTTCTAAATGCAGGTACTTCCGCCTCTTTGTGCAGAACTAAGGAATTTGGTTATGCAGCCAATGATTCTCCCTATGGTTCTCACAATTGCACAGTCACAGGTGCTTGATTTGCTCTTTATCAGGTTTCGGAGTACCAACAGAACGCATTTTTTATTATTTGTGAAAATTGCTGGGAGTCTATGTTGGCCTTTGAAGTATCTTCATGCTAACCTTTCTAGATTAGTTATTAAAAAAGGAATTTTTTTTATATTTTCAACATGCTAGATATTTTCTTTCTAAAACGTAAATTAACCTTTTCCTTTTTAATCAAGCTCTGTGTCTGGGACTTTTACCTAAACTGACCACAATTAGTTTTATGAGATATAATGTGTAGTATGAGTTTCTCTCTGTCCTACTGTTTCTTGGTCAACAACTTTTTATTTTCCTTAAATTCTTTATGCCATCTACTAAATATTTTCATAAGAAACAAAATTTCATTACTAAATAAGATACTTTAATGATTTCTGAATTGTCTAATCATGACAATAACAATGAATTAAAACTATGAAATAGCATGTATGATGTAAATGCATAAATGCTTAAATATATGTTATGAAAATTTATAATGAGAGTTGTTATTTACATTAAAATAAGCATATTAAGGTTTTGAAGCATGATCTATGAAGTAATACGAAAAAGCACACTTTGCTCTATTTAGGACCATGTCCCTGGTTATGAGTAAAGGAAGGTCTCTGGGACTAGTTTATTCTCATGAAAATAAAATTAACACGTAGCAAAAGCCTAACAAGTGCAAGCGATGTGGAAACCATATCTCTTTCTCTCACAAACACACAAATGCACACACACACTTTCTGTTTAATAAAATGGGGATGACTTGCTAAGTGCTTTAACTAGATTCTAAATGAGATGATAAATGGGTAATTTCTTTTAATGTTGCTGAAAATTATCATACTGACTTCTACAGACATTTGGATTATACATTGAGCTGCTTGCAACGTCAATAAATTCAACATTCTATCTATTGAATGCCAAATATAATACAACTCCAATCTAGAATGTTAAACCATGTTTATAGTTTCTCTCCAAAATTTGTTGTGCATTTGATTGGATTGCAGTCATGCACTTTACCTTCTCCTATTTGAAGTTTGTTTGAGCTTTATCATTGGGTAATGTGGAGGAAATTGTTGTCTCTTAATTCATCTCTTGTTCTCTGTTAACAAAATGTGAATAAAGTGATAAATCCTTTAATACTGAATATCCATTATATTCATATCTAGAATAATCATACTTTCTATCTTGTTTGAGCAATGAACTGATGGCTTGAAATGTATTGCAGGATAAAAATGATTTTGAGTTAGTTACGGTGCCAGCTCTTATGCCTGTCCTGAGCACTGCTGCAGGAGAGACCTTGTTGTTGTTGGTTAAGCACGCAGAGCTTATTATCAACAAGGTAACTAAAGTAGCATGCTCACTGAAAGAATGTTCTCAAGGGTCAATATTTCCAATTCTTTTGTTCTTTAAATCTGAGGATAAAATGGTCTAATTTTGTTTGTGTGAATAAGGTTACAAAGTATTGTTGTGACTAATGTTTTAAGTACTAATAAATAATTGGTAAAAATCTGAATTTGGTCCCTCTAATATCTCAATTATGTGGTTTTGGTTCTTGTACTTTGATTTTAATGAATTTAATCCCTTTACTTTATAGAAAGTCAATTTAAGGACAATTGATAACAATGTCAAACTTTCTTCATTTAAATTTGACTGTGTGGCTTTTTTGTTAATGACTAATATATATCGCGTAACCCAAAATTAATCTAGCTCAACATTTCAGGTAATTACTTAAATTCCATGTCATTCAAATTAAAGACAAAATCTCAAAATTGTTATCAATTGTTTTTAAATATACTTTTAATTAAAGTACATAGAATAAATTCATTAAAATTTTAGTAGAGGGACTAAAACAACAAAAGTGAGATAGTAAAAGGACCAAATTTAGACTTTAACTTAAATACTTAATACAGTTATGAGGCATTCCTCCTGAAAATATCATTGCTAAAAATTTTTCTGATGCGTTACAGAATGATGCATTTACACATCTATCATAACTATGGTCTTTAGCTAATGAACCTATCAGTGCATATAATATGTGTACTTAGAATTCTATTGTTAGTCATCTTTTGACTGCTATTAACTAGCGGGTTGCTGAAATCTGTGGTAACATGGAGAAAATCATGAAAATGAAGAAGCTTGATATCATAATTGTTTTCAGATGTGCCATTCAATTTTATTGGGCTTATGTCTTACACTTCCCCTCTATAGTAATTGCTGATAAGGCTCCTCTATGAAATGGCACTGTCATGTTTACCATTTTCTTCAGATGCTTGTTTTCATCATGAATCATACTCAATCATTTAATTATAGTTATTCCAATAACTGTAGACAAATTTGGAGCACATAGTATCCCATGTATTGCCCATGCTTGTTCGAGCTTATGATGACAATGATCCTCGCATACAAGAGGAAGTTTTGAGAAAATCTGTATTCCTTGCCAAGCAACTTGATGTGCAGGTGATTCTCAATTTTTTTTTTTTAATGGATTGTCATTTGAGAAGTTTACCTTCTCTATATTTGTTGTATGCAACAAGACTGATCATAAGTGCATTGTGCATCTGTTAGAAGATAATCACAGATGTTACTGGATTCCTTTTGACCGGGAAATTATTTATGTTTGTTATTGGCTATTGGGTATTAGAAAAAAGGGATAAAAATCCGTTGTACCTTTTACTGTTAGATGATGTAAATTATCCCTAGACTATAGATTCTAAGAGGAATGTATGAATTTTACACTTAGTTTTCATCTTTTCTTTAGTTTTTAAAAGAAGTTATTCATCACACCTTTTTTCCTTAGCTGCATTTTCTATGGATTTGAAATTAATCAAATGTCAAGTTGTCTAAGTATAATGGGTGAAGAGACGAAAACCTACAATTTTGCCCTTGTTAGGCTTTTTTCTTGAATAATCGTACCTGAGTTTTTATTAATTACTCAACGCTTGACCAACTTGCTCTATCTATCTCATTGTTCTAGGGTGTGTTTGTTTCTTAGAAGCTATCTATTCTTCCATGTTTTCTTTATCTTCTTGACTAATTTAATATGATGGTTTGTGTCACTAAATGAAGTTTTAATAATAAACAGAATTCCTAGAATATCCAGCACTTTTTAGTTTACTTTTGTTATTCAACTTTTACAATGCTGGATCTCTAAGTTTACTTTTGATGGTTCTCTTTATTTAAAAGCAAGGACCCTGATCTAATGGGCAAATAAATTTTCTCCAGAGCAGGAGTTTCATTTCCAGTTTATCGTCATAGTAATGGATGTTCAACCTATCATAAATTATATTCAGTACCTTGAACACCTTATTAGTGGATTTTACTTCAAAACACTCTTTGAAAAGGGAAGCATCATCTTATCTTATATGTTTTGAGTTCTTCTTTTTGGCTATTATATTCTTGTTGATATTTCATTATAATGAAGGTACTAAACAAGTAACAACAGGTCATTTAGGATTATTTTTATGCTTTACTGCTTGTGAGACAAGCTATTATGGCCTCATAGTGGATTTTGTTCAAGTATCTTTAAGGTCTTCTGAGTGCATTGCAGTCTTTTGAATTTCTTATTTTAATATAATAAAATATTAATATGTATAATGTGAAATATGGATTATCAAACACATTTTATGTTTCATCTATATTTTTTAGTTCTTTTTCTTTTCTTTTTTTTTTTCTTTATTATATTCCTGATGATATTCCTTATGTTAAGGTACTAACTTTATATTTCAAATTATTTTTTATGCTGTTCAGCTTGTGAAACAAACCATTCTACCTCGCGTTCATGGCTTAGCTCTCAAAACAACAGTTGCTGCGGTATGTTTGCATTTTTTTTTTTTGTAATTAGCTTAATATTAACATATATGGTTATGATTTGTTAGATGTAACAATATGACTAAAAACTTCTATGTCATATCTCATGTTACAAAAATGCCATCTGTGATAATTTGGCCTGCGTCAAATACATTAGTTAGTGCTGCTTTAGGTTAACTTAGTGTTTCCTTCTGCATTACCACTGCTAGTTTCCTGAAAAGACATCTGTGCCTCTAAGAGGAATATGAATTTAGGTCATCCATAAAATTTGAGTGTAATGGAAAAGGAAGAATGTTCTCAGTGAAATGTGTCTTCATTGTTGTATTTAGGAAGACATCTAAATTCTAATTTCTTCATTCTTGTCATTCAATATTATTCAAAATGCTCGTCAGAATTGAGTGAAGCAGCAGACACATCTGTTTCTCAAAGTTTGTATTTTTTGAAAATTTTTAAGCAGTTTTAAAGTGCCTTTTAAAAGAACATAGCTATTCTATTTCTATTAATTTCAATTACATTTTTCTGAACCTCTTGGTTTCTTTGGGCAGGTCAGAGTCAATGCTTTGCTATGCTTAGGAGAATTTGTTCACACTCTTGATAAACATGCTGTACTGGATGTCTTGCAAACCATTCAACGTTGTACAGCTGTTGACCGTTCTGCTCCCACTCTTATGTGTACCCTAGGGGTTTCAAACTCAATTCTCAAGCAGGTAATGATGCACTCTATTTTTTGTTGCCTAAGTTGTTTTTCATTGGTACTAGATTGTTGCCTATGATTCACTTAGGGTTCTTTTACTTGGTAAAGGTTATTTTAGAGTAGATATTTGATGAAAATGTACAAAAACTTTTTATCAGTATGAACAAATAATGCATATTTTCCCAAAAGAGTAACTTATAACTTTTAATAAAAACTTGTAAGAAATGAATACAAAATAGTACCTATTGTCAACAAATTCATTCAATTCGACTTCTTGATGCATAAACTGAAAATAAAAACTTAATTTCAAATGATTCTTATACATTTACAAAGTATTGAAGCATAAAAAAAGATCAAACTGAAATAGAGCTTTTAAATATATAGAAAGTACAATCATAATTGCTATTTATGCCTGAAGAGTTGAAATGAGTACTCCAAAAGAGCATATATTGACATGAACAATTTGGATTAGATTCCTTGGTATTTATACTATATCAATAGATATGAATATAGAGTCAAAATATTAAACTTAAATGACACTAAATGCTAAGTACATCTATCCACAATTAATTGAGTTGATGGATACCATAGATTCATGAATAGTTAAGTTCCTTTTTTTTTTTTTGCCTAAAAATGAATGACTAAGTTCATGAATAATTACATTCATATTACTTAAAATAAATTAAAAAGTTAATTAATATAATGTAGAAACTGTTCATGGCTGCCTTGTGGCAGCAAATGGATCCTTTCCAGGGATGATTTTGATATAATGTATGTATGTGTATAGATAGATAGATGTTTGAAACTCCTGGTGACTTAAAGTTCATTATTTGCCTTTTCCTTTCATCTTGTTTAGTATGGAGTTGAATTCGCTGCAGAGCATGTCCTCCCTCTCCTCACACCTCTTCTCACTGCCCAACAATTGAATGTTCAGCAGTTTGCCAAATATATGTTCTTTGTCAAAGACGTTCTCAGGTGTAGTTGTAATTGTTGTTCTTGCTTAATTCCCTCGGAACTTATTTCTCTTTAGACCTGTCTGATTTCGTTGCAAGAAATGAAAATTTTTTTCTCTCACTCACTGATAGATAATAGTCAGTAGTACTATTATTATGTTACTACTTTCTTATGAACATGTTGTGATTCCTAATTTTGTTGCAACTCAGAAAGATAGAAGAAAACCGGGGGGTTACTTTAACTGATTCTGGAATCCCAGAGGTAAAATATGCTACTACTGCCAATGGGCTTCGGTCTGAAGCCTTGAGCAAAGCAAGTGGTACTTCGGCTTCAGCAAAGAGCAGCCCAGCATGGGATGAAGACTGGGGCCCTACTACTACCAGAGGAGCTGCCAATGCCAGTGCCACTGCCCACCAGCCTCCAAAAAACAATTTATCCTCTCACTCTATTTTGGGTGATAAATCAATTCTATCAGCATCCAGACAATCACAGTCCTCCATGATATCTACTGCATCTAGCCAGCAAACATCTGTATCTTGCGCTGTGGTTGAGATCGAGTGGCCTCCTCGTGCATCTTCAGGAATAACTGCAGAGTCAGGCCATGGCGAAAAACAATTAAATGTTGGAACATCATTGCCATCAAATTTTGATGATTTAGATCCTTTTGCAAACTGGCCTCTGAGGTCTAGTGCCTCCTTAAATGATTCTGGGACTGTCAACAATGGTACCATGCGACCAGCCACAAACAATTATGGATCCAGTTCCATCACAATTACCCCAAGCAACATGAACTACCAAACAGATAACAGCAACAGTTGGGCCTTCAGCAACCAAAACTCTGGGGAGCTACTAAGACCTTATCATGGGAGTTCAACTTCGAATACAAGTATTTTGAACAGTGGGGGTGTCCAGAACTCTATTGGATTCTTGAAACAGAACCAGGGGATTTCAGCTTCGATGGGTTCTTCGTACAATAATCAGAAATTAGCAGATCTTGGGTCTATTTTTGGTTCTAGCAAGAATGAGCAGACTGCCCCAAAACTTGCACCACCACCCTCAACAGCTGTGGGTAGAGGAAGAGGCCGAGGAAGGGGAGCAAATTCTGCCTCAAGGGCTACTCATGCTAGACCAACATCCGAACAGCCACCTCTTTTTGATTTACTTTGATAGGTGGGGGTTGCTTTTATTAGAGGAAGATAAAGATGAGAATTTTTGGATGTGGCTTCATAGAGTTGCCATACCACGTACAGAACTTTGCCAGATTCTGCTGAAAGCTGTTGGCCCTGGAAGTAAATTTATTTTTCTAGGGTTGACGGTCATCTGTCTATTGTGGATGGCGTTGTTTGTTAGATCATAGCTTTATTATGGGCTTGTTTGTAGCCTATGTAATAGACATCCATGTAACAGGGTACGTGTTTTTATGTTATAAAATTTTGTGTTGTCTCTCGACTTTTTTGAAGTATCTGCAGCTGCATATTGTAATTGTTGAGACATTTCACTGATTTGATTGTGAATTAATTAATAAAGGAGGTTGGAATATTTGAGTCACTAACTATTGAAGGTTCGGAGACCTTAATTTTGGTTATCAGGGGGGAATACTTTGGGCTTTGCAAAATAACGAACTGGGATTGGTCATAATTAGGACTACTCATGAGAATCTGTTATTGTTAAATTTCACTCTCCAAGTAGGGACAGAAGCAGAAACAAGATTTCTCTCAATTATATCAAAGTCCTCTACCTTTTACAGCCATAATAATAATAATAATAATAATAATAACATAAATCAATGTGATTATGAATCTATCATCTTTTGCAATTGAAAGAGCATCAAAATTGTGACACCAGAATGTCTAGGGACTCCAGTACCAAGTAGAAAAGAAAAGGAAACATATATCCTAAGCTATCTATCTAAGACTATTCGATTTGTTAACGATGACTGTTTGTCACTGGAGCTTCCCAGGACATGTTCAAGGATAGCCATCTTCTTAAGACTGTTGATAAAGAGCACCGCCTTTCGATCTGTCTTGAGACAGATAAAACAATCTCGTATCCATCATAATTAATGTGACTCCATGCCTTGTGCTATAGCCAGTTCCACCAAAATTGTATATGTTCATGTATACTATATTCAAGAACGAGTCCCCACTGCTTACGCTGTATCCTGTGAAAATCAATGGCTTCTTCAATATCATTCTTGAGTCTAACTCTGCATAAATGCCATTTGGTCATGCTCATTCTGCCCGGCGAGCCTATATATTGCAGGTAAAAGTTTTCGTTGGCTGTAGGTAGTATGTAGCCTTCCCTTCAACATAAATTTCAATAATACCTTGAAATTCGTCAGGATAAGCATGTATTGTCGCAAAATCAATTTCCTTGATAAGATTGTCGATAATAAAATCTGTGCCAACTTGGAAACCAGGATTGATCAAGTGATCTATTTGGCAATGAGTCTCCATAGAAATCTTCCATGCCTATTACCGACAAATGCTTGTTGTCAATGGATTTTAGATATGTTGCATTGCCTTTAACCCATTCCTGTCATATCAGCAAGTAGAATTTAGTCACAGAAACAAGTAAAATCCATATTGAAAAAAAAAATTAATATATGTTCTGGCAGGGAATATATATATAGTATAGAGTAGGCATTCATTTACACCAACCTCAAATATATATATATATATATATTCCCTAAAGTTTTATGGACCCCCTGGTTAGATTTTATGGTTTTACCAGAGTAATCAACTTGGCAGCGAGGTTGATTTATTAGTTCCCATGCCATAATTGTTGGGTCATCTTTATATGGGATTCTTGTAATTGAATTGAATCTTGCTAGTACTTTCTGTAACACAAGCATAGACATTTGTTAGCACAAATGCATAATCATAGAGCAACAGTATATATGTTCACTTTTACTATATATTAGCTTCTTTTTTTTTTTAATTTGATTTTTTTGCCAATAAGTTAGGAGCAGTGACAAACTATAACCTCGGATTGGACATATAAAGGGCATCATTCCAACTGAAATTCAGCAGTGCTTTTTCCATGTGCTTTAAAATAAATTATGAGTAGACTGACAATCCATCTGATTTATGCAAACCGTACATTTATTTTCGGATCATCCAACTATATTAGATGGATTGAAAAGGAAGAAAACATAAGGGATGGTTGGTTTTATATCATCTCAACATATTCATTGGATTAACGGAAGAGGAAAAAAAAAACAACAATCGTTTAAAGGGGGACCCTGTACCGCTGTGTCTTAATAAAAGCAACTAGTTTTAGTATTATATTGGATATAAGATTAGATGCATAAACAGACACCATTGTTCAACTGAAAGTTTGGCTACATATATATTTCATATTTGTCTGAGAAAGAAAAAGCAACTAGCGAACACAGTTTCTTGCATTTGCAACCAAAAATTATGATGCATGCCGAGTGCCAAGCATGCGCCGGCAGCTTTCAATAACTTTTTTTTTTTTTTTTATCATTTATTATGGCTCAATTTTTATATCATGAAATATCAATATTATCTCATGATTCTAATTTCTAAAGAGTGTGATATTAATCTATCTAAAAAAGAGTGTATATTAGAATACATTTAATGATTTGATGTAAACATATTATGCTATATATATATATAATTAGAATAAAGTTGTATTCATTATTGCTACAACAACAAATTTCTCATTCCACTCATTTTCCTACTAAAATAATCATTTCTCAACTCCCCCTTCTTTTCAATCACTTCTATCAAAGCCTTTTCCTTATTTGTTTTTTATTTTCCATTAATATACAGTTATTTATTATAGCTGACAAGAGCCTTTACTAGGCATTCATATATAATTTCAAACACCATTTTGCACCATGCACATATTTTTTTTTTATTAAATGTAAAACTTCATTTAATTTATTCATATAATCATTCTAAAAAAATAATATTCAATTCATTTAAATTTTAAAATCGAATTACATAGTTTTTTCTATTCCCAATGACCTCTTTTATATATATATATATAAAAGAAATGTTATTATTTGGGTCGTAAAGCATGGGTAAAAAAAGGGAATAAAGAGGTGCGGAGGGAGGAATGGGCAATGTGCAAAAAGCAGGAGCCGAATTACTTGCGCGATCCAAGGGTCCCAAAAACGCGCCATTCACGCCCCGCTTTTTCAACAACAAAATAATAAGCCGGCTTTTTGTCCAAAATTAGGCGCTTGCTTTCTTTATTGCCCATTGTATGAAACAATCAATGCATCACTTTTTGTAATACATCAATTACCGCAATGGTCCCTACATTTTCCTATTTTCTTTGATTTGATCATTGAGAATCTATTTGTGCTTTACTCGTGATATAAAATTTAAAAAAAAAAAATCATGCTAATCTTTCATATTTTTTAAATTTTTTTATTTGCAGCGAAAATTAAAAATATATATAAACTATATAATAATTAATGTTGATAAAATATTAAATTTTTAATTTCAAAACTTGAGCCATATAATAATAAGTTTGGGATTATAACTCAAGTTATTTCATATGTTTTGTATCGTTTCTTTTGCAATTAATGGCTGGGTGGCTTGAAATAAAAGAATTTTAAATTTTATTAATAAAAATAATTTCAGAAATTACACAACTATACATATAGTTTTTTAATTTCTCATTTTGTAACCTCACTTCTCCCATACCGTCCAACACTTTGTAATCCGTCTCAAATGATTATTGTTTATGGTATTTTAAAAGAATTAATTAAGTATGAACTGAAATTAAAAAAAAAAAATCAACTTTTTTCAAATTTGATGATTAATAAGAGCGAAAATAGACATGTGAGCCCCATAGAAAATAGAGACGAGAGAGAGAGAGAGATTGGTGGAAATTGAATTGTATTGAATCGAAACCTCACTGCCAATATCCAATTAGTCAACTCATTTCATGTTAAAGCAATCAATCAGTTACCCGTCCTGCTATATGCTTTTCTTACCCTTTGTATCTCAAGCTGTTGCCATGTACAATTAGAACCATTTTTTGATACATATAACAAAATGAAGGACTAACCTTGACTGTATTTACAAAAACAAGAACTTTGAATTTATCATAATTTTTTTTAAAGAAATTTTCTTAAAAAGAAAGTTGGAACAACAATAAAGAATAGCATCCTGGGTATTAAAGCCTGATTTTGCGCTATTGTGATTTGGGCACATATCTGTTGCATTTTCTCCTATAAAAAGGCCATGTGTTTGTTGAACCATAGTCACAAAACTAATCAATCAAAATCAAACTAGGCAATTGCAGTTGAGTAGCAAATAGCAATGGCAAGCATCAGCAGCATATCATTTTTCTGCCTCTTCCTTTTCTTCTTTTCACCGCTGCTGAATGCTAATGCTGTGGAGGGAAATCCAAATTACAGAGAGGCCCTGCTTAAATCCATTCTCTTCTTCCAAGGTCAGAGGTCTGGCAGGCTGCCTTCCAATCAGCAAATCACTTGGAGGTCCACTTCTGGCCTTTCAGATGGTTTCCTTGACCATGTATGTTACTAATTAATAGTCTCATCTTTTTTGTTTTCTTTCTTTCATGGACATTCAAAATGTATGATATGGGCCATAGTTTTTTTTTTTTTTTCATTTTTTTCATATGATCTTTCATCCATATGTAAATAATGATCGTCCCAAAAAAACCTAATATTAAAAGATTGCTTGTTATTACAAATGCAGGTAGATTTAACAGGAGGTTACTATGATGCTGGAGACAATGTGAAGTTCAACTTCCCAATGGCATTCACCGCCACAATGCTATCATGGAGCACACTTGAATATGGCAAGAGAATGGGCCCTCAATTGCAAGAGGCAAGGGCTGCAATTCGTTGGGCCACTGACTATCTCCTCAAATGTGCCACAGCCAAGCCCGGAAAGCTGTATGTTGGTGTGGGTGATCCCAATGTGGATCACAAATGTTGGGAGCGGCCGGAGGACATGGACACTGTCCGAACAGTGTACTCGGTATCCCCAAGCAACCCAGGGTCCGATGTTGCTGGCGAGACGGCTGCGGCATTAGCAGCTGCCTCTATGGTGTTCCGAAAAGTGGATCCAAAATACTCAAGGTTGTTACTTCAAACTGCGAGGAAAGTTATAGCATTTGCCATCCAATATCGTGGTTCTTACAGTGACTCACTTGGATCAGCTGTGTGCCCATTTTACTGCTCATATTCTGGATATAAGGTAAGATGGGCTTGCTGTTAGCAGCCCAAAATTAAACATATATTACTATTTCCCCTCACCAGTTAGCAACATTTAGCATTTACTAGAATTGAATTTTATTGCAGGATGAGTTGCTGTGGGGTGCTTCATGGATGCTGAGGGCAACAAATGATGCATATTACTATAACTTCTTGAAAACATTGGGAGCTGATGATCAACCGGACCTCTTCAGCTGGGACAACAAATATGCTGGTGCTCATGTTCTTTTATCTAGGGTACGTAATAAGTTAAACCAACATTTTCAAATTTCCTTCTAACTCTTTTTCTTTTTACATTCTAATTCAAAAGCAGAGGGAAAATGAAATCTCAGTGGCTGAATATAATTTTTTTCAATTTTCTAATCGCTTTGGTGATAGTCTTTCATTATGGAATTATTATATTGTTGACACCAACTTATTTTTTATTTGCAGCATGCATTGCTCGAAAATGATAAAAATTTTGAGCAGTTCAAACAAGAAGCTGAAAGTTTTATGTGTAGGATCTTACCTAATTCTCCTTATTCAACTACCCAATACACACAAGGTAATGGCCATTTTTTTGTTTAGTGGGATCATTGGTATGCATATCCTTATTCTCAACCCAAGAATTTACAACTTTTTAGAATTTTGAACCAATGATATGTCTTGTTTTTGAATTTAATACAGGAGGGCTTATGTACAAGCTACCTGAAAGCAATCTTCAATATGTTACATCCATAACATTTTTACTTACAACATATGGCAAGTACATGAAAGCCAGAAAGCAGACGTTTAACTGTGGCAATCTCTTTGTCACTCCAAATTCTCTAATTGGGCATGCAAAACGACAGGCAAGAAGTTATCCATGTGAAATTTGCTTCAAGTTTCTTCCTTTGAGGTTTCTAAAATTTTGGAATCTGAATTTCAGGTGGATTACATACTGGGGCAGAATCCAATAAAAATGTCGTACATGGTTGGATTTGGACCGAATTTTCCCAAGAGAATTCATCACAGAGGTTCTTCATTGCCTTCCTTGGCAAGCCACCATCAGAGCATGGGATGCGATGGGGGTTTCCAGCCATTCTTCTACTCATCAAACCCGAATCCTAACATTTTGGTTGGAGCCATCGTTGGAGGTCCAAATCAAAACGATGGATACTCTGATGATCGATCTGACTATAGCCATTCAGAGCCTGCTACATACATTAATGCTGCAATGGTTGGACCATTAGCATATTTTTCTGGGCTCAATGCTCACCCCTAGTTCATAGGTTCTATCATCATATGGCTCTTGTAAATATTTTATTATCGCCACTCTCCCTAACCTGGGAGTTGCAAGCCACCAAAGGGTGCATTAAGACATGTTAAAACTGTTTACTTTCTTGTTTTTCTTTGGTAGATCAACATCACCATCCTAAATTCCACTCCAATTATAATCTACCACTGACCATATAATCTAACAATTAAATTTTGTTTTTTTTAATCTTAGGTTTAGTTCAAATGATTCATTTATCTTTTTCAAAAAAAAAAAATTCTTTAAGACTAGAATTTGATAATTCACATTGATACTACAGTGCATGCGCGTACACACATATATTTATATATATATATATATATGTATTCCGTTAGTGGTTATAAAACTACTTAATGATATGGTACGACTAAAGCTATCAAATTATTAGAATATGAGGGAATTAGGTTGTGCAATGTGTTGAAAATAATCTTTGGATGCTACAATAAAGAAAGCTAAAATAATTAAAAAAACATAAACTTTATCACTTTATTTATATAAATTTTTATACCTTTATTGCACCCGATTAAGCTTTTGATCATTAAATATTTGCATCCAAATAAATTTTTAATTTTTAATTTATATTTATATAAACTTTTAACATGAATCAATATTTTATTTGAAATAAATATTTATTTAGATACAAATCAAAGAATAAAAACTTATCGAATCACAATAAAAGTTTAAGGATTTTTTTTAGTATTTAAATAAAAAAGTAATTGTTAGGAAGGAAATGCCAACTTTTAGATTTTGCTTTGGTAAGGTGAAAAAAATGGAATGATAAAAAAATAGAAAGGAAAGAATAGTGAAAAGATGAAACACATAATTATTGGTTGATTTTTCAAAAAAAGTCCTACCTATTTAGCCAATCAAATGATTCACACATTTGATACCTTCGACAAGAGCGGAAATAAGAGACAAAGAAAGAAGTTTGGATAATTAGCTATGAGTTAAAACTACACCAAAGTGTGTAAAGGTAAGGTAATTGAATTGAATTAAAAGGTTAGATAAATTAGGGATGGGAAAAAAATTAAAAAAAAGTTGAAAATTAATTCGAAATTATAGTTGATTGAATTTAATTTTTTTTATTAGGTTTAAATATTCAATGTATATATTAAGTTTTGATTGGATTTAAATTAGAATGTGAAAAACTAAAAAAATCGAATGAAACTGAATTATATATTTTTATTAGTTTTTATATATTTTTTAAATTTTTATAAAATAAAATAATTGTTTTATATGTAAAATTATTGAAATGTATTAAAAATCTTATTAAAATAATATATAAAAAATTTAAAATTTAAAAATTAATGAATTGAACTAAATAAGTAGAATCTAATTCCAATCGAATTAGTTTCAAAAAAATGATTCGGATTCGGATCAAATTTTAAAAATTTATAATATTATATATTATCCAAAAAAATTAAATTGAATTCGATCTAATTCGAAATATTATCATTCCTGAAAAATACATTAAAAGATAAGAAAATTTGTAATTTAACTTTAAGATAATTGAATTTGCATGTTGACTGTAGTCTCTAGAATCCGTTCTTCATCGTTTTAAATTAGATTTGTACTAACAAAACAAAACAAAAAATCTAACTATTTCCTAACTATAAATCTGTTGTTACCTTTTCTTTTGCCTTCACGTTCTCCATCATAGGTGAAAATTGCTCCATGCCTCATTTTTCATTCCCCTCACAGCACTGAACATGCAACTGCTTATAACTATCCCTATCAGCCCACAAATGGTTGGACTCTTTAACCTCTACATGATAGGTCTTAGTCCATCTAATAATCGGGCTAATGATAACTCAAAGGTGTTGGACTTCTCAGGGTTTGGCCTTTCAATATAGTTTATATTCTTCAAATAATTAGCTGATCACTAATCAATTCAATTATTAACTCAATTATCCATTAATTACTTAAATTGGATCACACCTGATTGTTCATTTTATGGGCTACATCTGGCATACTTTAGTTAAAACTCGTTGTTTGGCTTAAACAAGTCTTCAGCTAGTCTTATTTATTAATCTTGCAAATTGTGATCAATTATTTTTTGGATCAAGAAGCATATTATTGGATGTTGATATTTAAAGATTATAGGTTTAAAAATTTTTATGAGTGCAACGTTTTTTTAATCAAGTAAGTAGTAAGATTAGAAATTTAAAAAAAAAAATCTTATAAATTATGAATTTATAATACTATTTAATCGTTTAATTTAATTTATTCTATTTAATCTATAATATATATATTTTTTTTTTTTTTTCTTGCTAGAAACTGTGGTGACATGATGAACTCAGGAAGTCAAACCAAGCTATAAAGCTACACTAAAGCAAAGTTAGGTAGGGGGGGGGGGCGCATTTTCACGGTGCCCAAGTTTGCCCTTTGTTAAAATGGAAGTGCTATGAAATATCACATTGATGTGGGACCTATTTCCATGCCCATGATTTTTTTTTTGTGTTGGATCTTCATGGTGGGCAACAGTACAGCAAATTTCCTTTGTGTAAATGTATCATTAATGTCTGTTTTGTCAGAAAGCTCATTTACTATTATTTAATACAAACTCATATCTAGTAAACGGTCTATGTAAGCGCTTTTGTCTCGCAAAGGTATTATTAGTGTGTCAAATTAAAAATATAAAATCACATCTAAATTAAGGATATCAACAAGCAAAATTACTACTTACTGAAATTCCATTAAAAAAATATTTAAATTTGACTTATTTATTATCAATTTAAATTTAAATTATTCAGATAATGAATTAAGTTAAATTTAAATTTTGTAATACTTATTAAAATTTCATTAAAAAAATATTTAAATTTAACTTAATTATTATCAATTCAAATTTAAATTATTCAAATAATAAATTAAGTTAAATTTAAAAAATTGTAATACTCTACTTTATTGACCTGCGAGTCTTATCTATCTTTTGAATTTTTTTATATTTTTAAATATCATGTATATAAAATATAAACCTTATTTACAATTTTGAAGTTTTATTGATAATATAATAAAAATTACAATCATAATTAAATATTCACTTTTATGTAAAATTATTAATTAATTAATTAATTATTTTATTTATGTATAAAAAATCATTAAGTAATAAGTCAACAAATTAAAATATAAGTAAATAAATTTAATATAAAAATAAAAGTATATCCATATATAATATTTTTGTTACTCCTATTTGTTTATCAAGTATTATTGTTATGAATTGAAAACCTGTGAACACGCGTAAGAAATGCAAACAAAAGAGTTGAACAGGTGTAAAGACAATACAAATTGGACATAAATGACCCTTCTCTCACAAAAAGGCATTGGCCTTTTTCTCTGAGGGTCTCCTCAGCCGATGTTTTGAAGTGATGATAGTGACTGTTTGGTTTTTTTCTCTAATTTGAAAAACAAAATTTTGTTTTCTCCATTGGGCATTGGGTTTTGGGGTATATGGGAAATGCATTATGAAAAAAAAAAAAAAAAGTTTCCATTTGCCAAAAGAAGAAGGGCACCACACAAATATCTGAATTTAGTGGTCAAAAAATCAAGCATGGGGTTTTTTTTTTTTTTTTGAAAAAAATTATTATACTCTTAATTCTCACATTTTAATTATGTTTGTTGACTTTTAACTTGGGAGTGGGATTTTGAGACTTTCTTTATTCACATCCTTTTTTTAGTAATTGAATCGTGAAATGGAATAAAAATTATCCATCTATCTTTTTCATGAAGTTCCAAAACAATATATTCATTTTATTTTCTTAACTATTTTATATTACATACTATTAATTTTTCACTTTATTCGTAGTCTTTATGCCAAATTAAACATGCAATGAATAATTAGAACAAAGGGAGTACATACTTTTCTCATTTGGTATCATTTTAGTATTCGTTATGTATGATTTTGAAAAGAAAAAAAATACTTATATCTCATTATGCAAAATGAAAATTTTTATTATCTATTCTCATTAAAAAAGCTAAAATTCAACATTAGTAATTCTATAAGTTGATTAGCATGAATTCAATCTTTCTTTTTCAATTTCTACATAACAAATAGAGTAGTTTTTTCTTATCATTTTGCCTAAATTATAATAGATGTCAATTGGAAAGGGAAGAAACATTTTCCAATTGTTTTTACAATTTATGGGTGGTACCCATTAAAGAAATTAGTTTTGAATTTAAAAAAAAAAAATTAGAAAACAAAAAGGTGTGCACTCTCAGCACGCAAGTTGCATCGGTCTTTGAAATTATAGCAATTTTGATGGTACTATTATTTATTCTAGCCCTACGCCATTGGCACAAGGGTTTGAGTCCCACCCACAACAACACAAATGATCAATCATTTTACTGAAGAAAACAGGATTCTGATAAAGAATAGTATGTTGTACTCACCAAACTACTAGAAATTTACTAGAAATCAAAACTTCAAGCATACATAATATCTATTTTAAATTATTAGCTTCTTGGTGAGGGTTAAGAGAGAAAAAAAAAATTTGTTGTTTAAGCTAAAAGGAAAACCAAAATATTTTTGTATGATTGTTATCTTTTTTTTTATTATTTCATATGATTTTATTATTAAGTAAAAGCAAAAGATATAAAGGAAGATAATGTTTTTCTCTTTTTATTTTAAAAATGGAGGATTCAAAAAAAAAAAAAAAATTTTTTACATAGCATAACTCATAGAAGAAGGGAGGAATCAAGACTTTAGCAATCACTTGAACCGTTAAAATGTTCATACAGAAAATGTTAATTTTATTAGTAAATAAGCAAATGTTAAAAACATATTAATAAATTTTTTTATTTAAATTATATTTTATATGAAATGATCATTCCGAAAATTATTGCATAAATAAACTTTTTTTGAGTGAAATTTAATAAAAAAATAAGAGCAAAAATCTTTATCCATCACCCATGGTTAAGATTAAAGAAAATGTCCCACACAGAAAAAGGACAATGCGCAGGCTATTTAATGTTATTACGATGCACTTCATTAATTAACTTACGCTTCATTAATTTGGGATCATTAATACTCTCATGTTAACATTTTCCTTTCTTCAATGTCATTATGCATGATTAAATAGGCAATTTATTCCAAAAATTGCTTGCCTTTTAAAAATTTTCCATGCTAACAGGAAAGTGTTTGTCACAACTTTATTACATAA